GGTCATAGTCACGGCAATTCGGTGATGTTTTCGGCACCAAATCGCATATTTCCCGATAAAATATGGCAGATGGAAGTAAATAACGTCTACAAAGGTGATATTTCACAGTAATAAAGAAGTATTTGGTTCATAACTGGATCGTATGGGGTAGTATTGGGTAGTATTGGGTGGTTTTGGGTAGTATTGGGTGGTATTGGGTAGTATTGGGTAATTAGACGCGCCCCAATACATGTTCCCCAAATACATGATGTATTGGGGGAACAACTGAACATGCATGGAGTGACCAGATTCCGAGTCACCTTAAACGGGGATTGGCGACTAAGAGAATAAGAGGCAACATTAAACAGCAATGGGCTTCATGTTGTTTATTATTAACCCTTTCACCATTAGACCAAAATGGACTCGCCAAGATCAATGTATGGTAGAGTCTACTCAAGTTACTTAGGAGTGAAAGGGTTAGGAATGTTTAGTCTTTATTTGATTTTAACTAGCAGTAAGTTTGCAATCAATAATCAGTGAACCCAGTTTCTGTGCCCTTATAATTATTGCACATACTTAACATGTGGAAAAGTATCAAGAAATGTTTACAAAACCATTTAAACTCCGAGACGTCCAAATAACTTTTTGTTGTCAGAAATACCTAACATATTTCTCCATTTAAATTTTATATGGGGACAGTTAGAGATCTAGACTAGATGTAGATATTTCTTTTTTCGGACTATTGTTTTTGATAGGTTGGAAATGGAACGTCCTCCATGGGATTGGTTTGAGTTGGTGAACTGCATTTTGTGTGCACAACTATAAAAATGTTTCTTATATAGCTGTAGCATATCAACATTAATTCTGTCCTTGCATGGATGGAAAGATTATGTCTATAACTCAGTCACCGTGCCTGTAAATAAATGCTACAAAATCACAATTATATGGATCATGAATACTTATGTATAGGGGCTTTTCCCCACTCTTTTGGAAATGGAACCTGCATATGTGGCTAAGAAATATGTTTGCATACATATGTAGTATATGAACCAAATTGGGAGTTTTGGGACCATTCTCGCTTCTGTCGAATTTAATTTTGCAAGGTGCAGTCTAAAACATTAATTTCTCTTTTATGAAAGATTCTTTCATTCAGGTGTTGCTGTTGCACTGTCATCTGAACACAAGATAATCAAATAAAGATAAGATTGGGAATTTCGAAAGAGATTTTCAGAAATATTAGCAGCATGCATTTTCCGTTGGGAATTGGGCTGTCAAATTTCAGTTGGCCCCAAATGGCCACAGAAAAAACCCTGATATGTGTCTGATGTTTTATGACTAAATGTCATATTATATGTTAGAGTGGGAATCCCTCTGCTGAATTGGAGGGAAATGCTTTGGTGCCCTCTGCTTCGGGACACAAAATATATCTGCAGCAACCATTGCAATATTTGGAATCTTTATATTTCTATCTATTTCACTAACTACCTTTTGTTACCTAGCACCTTGCTTGGCAACACCTCACTTTTGGCGTTAGTGTTGATCGTTCGCCCAGGTGAGGAGGCAATGGGTTCTGTCAATATAATGTGACCTAGTGGAATGCTGTGCTGGGTGCCTTCGGCATGGTATTTCAGTGAGATGGCATTATAAAAACGGCATCTGGCATCAGATTTGCACTATCACAAGGTTGGCAAGTACACCCTGTCTCCGGCACACATACACAAAACACATGGAGGCATGTCCTTAAATAACTCGGCTGTTAATAGGATGTTAAACTAAGTAAAACCAAACCAATCAAATCAAATTTTCATTTAATCTTGAAAAAACATACGTGGTATGCTTCATATACTTTTAGTTATTTCTTCATAATTATACGAGGCACTAAAGAAATTGATACAAATGCTTTGCTATTCTTAGTTTTAACATGGTGTTCTTTGTTTATTTCAGAAATGTTTCGATGGCAATGTTGAATTAAAAACAAGATGGTCACATAAATCAATACGACTGTCGAAAAAACGGGCAGGGATGCTAAAACCATCATCCCTGAGAAACATGAAGTCATCACAATGTACATGTATCTTTTCTGGTAAGTTAATGAAATTTGACATAGGTACATGTCATGCTTTTACCAGTACAATTGATATAGTATCAAGGACAAAGATATTTATACTATATTGCCAGGGTGTGAAAAAATATTGCAATACCAATCTATTGCTTTTTTTTCTATTGATATGAAAATTGCAAAAGTACTTTGAAAATTAAGCAATAAATTGCAGGAATTTTTTTTCAACACACTTTCGGATTTTACATTTTAAGCATGCAGTAATGAAACAGTTTACAGAAACTATGTCAAGTTGAATCAATATCATCCAAATAAACAGTGTGATAACTCCCAAACTAAATAATTTTTATTTTATCAATGAAGCTTGCTGAAATGATGCTTAATTTTTCGTATTTTCAAGTATATATTATATGTCATTACAAATAAACTGAATTTATCTTATACAATATATTGTGATATATTACAATATTCCCTGAATATTTCAGTACATGTTTACTTGATTGCAATATGAAAATTGCTTGCAATACCAACCAAACATACTATATTGTATGATTTATAGCAAGCTTAAAATTACTATACATGTGAACCACACAAAGCCTATTTTAAGAATCTAGAGCTCTATTGCTTTTTGAGAATAATACTTGCCGCTCTCAATACTCCAGGGGTTATGGTTACTTTCGCTCTCTGCATCCCTGGAATATGTCAAAGCAAAATTGATGCACGCAGCTAGCTATTTCATTGGTGTTGGGTAAAAAAAACCCTGACCAATCATTAGGCTGATACTTGTCCTTTGAAGATTGCAGAGGGTGGACATCCAACTTTAAATCCAGTCAATTTTACTGTTACCAGACTGACAGATTTGTTTAATGTACATCAAAGGATCAAACTAGACTTGTTGTCTCTTTCAATTTTGCTATGAAATATTCCAGGGATGAAGAAAGCAAAAGTTAGCATAACCCAGTGCCCTGGAGTCAAGAGGATGAACTTTTACGTACCGGCACTTTTAAGGTCACAAGGGTTGCCCGTGTGGTTGAAAACTTTTATAGAAAAATATATATATATAGAGTCATAATATTTGGCCTATAGCTTTAATTGCTAGGTTAAAGGGTTATCTAGTTTGTTTATCAATATAATTGACATTGATCCACTTCAAAAGTAACTGATTTAATATGTTATGAAAATTTCAAATAACTCGACAGAACCGATGGGACTCGGAGTCATGATATCTTACCAGCAGAGCTATAACAATCTGTTCAAAATAATTGCCGAGCTATAAGGCAAAATGTTATGACGGGCGGTTCAGTAGCTTGCTGCAAATGGTGTTCAAAGTTCATGACCTTGGCCAACATTACATAAATAATTCCTAGGTAAACAGTATTGAAGCCTGCAGTTTTTGATAAACTAGGCAGTGCTGTTTTCCCTGCAAATAACTCTCTCAAAACAAGTTTCAGTTTCAATCAAATTTGGTAAGCACAATCATATTAGTGTCGCATGTGGAAATAAACACATACACCTGTGTATCATGTCCATATTCCATTTATTCTTTGTTCATGTCACAAAGGCATTTGTCCTAAGGAAGGTTTGGAGGAATTCACAAATTTACTGTTTTCCTACATTGAGTAAAATTGAACAACGTATTTCTTATTTTTCTTGTCGGAGATCGGTGAGCTTGAATATATTCCAATTACATTTGTACGTCCGAATGACCAGCTGTCTAATCTGAAACTGCTCACCGCTAACCAGGAATTTACTTTTGAACTGACCGCTTGATTGTGATTGGCCGAAATAGTTCGTAAATGTCCGTTGATAGAAATTTTAATCATTATATATCGGCGATGTAATTAATCAATGTAGCCAATTAAAAAATCATAAACAATATCTATAAAACTAATTAGTAAAAATAACATTAATATAGTGTTAATGTACTTATATGTCACGTTATCGTCACGTGATCCAGACAATTACGGAATCTACGTACTATATTAATGATGTACATTACAGAATAGGTAACAAGTAAATACAGAGCGTGTACAATCCACATTGTTACATCAGCAAGTCTTGGGCTTAAAGTGATGGCCAAATCGATGCTTGAACAGTTACAAATAGTTAATAAGGCTACCTACTTCAGATTGGTAAAATACCTTCACCTAAAATGGTTGAATTTCAACCAAATTAATTGTGCACATGCCTGACTCCACAATTCATCCCTATTTACCATGGCAGTCAAAATTAAGTAGAGATCCGTAGGTTTCCAGCACCTCTAGATCTGCTTATGAGGTTCTCTAGCTTATTTAGGAGGCACGGTAGTCTTGTGGTAGGACACCAGGCTCGTGACCGAAGGGTTACGGGTTCAAGTCACGGCACCGCATTGTGTTGTATCTTTGAGCAAGATACTTTACTCTGCTTGATCCAGTCTACTCAGCTGTAATTGAGTACGTGGTTGGGCAGTGCTAGAATTGTAGAGTACTAGCTGAGTGCTGAAATGGCAGCACCGGCTGTATACTCCCCAGGGAGTTGAAAAAAGATATTGGCTGGTTGCAAAGGCCCTATAATTATATAACCACGGATAATAATTTGTGAACTGCTTTGAGACGACCTACGAACTAGGTTGTGATAAAGCGGTATATAAGAACCTCAAATTATTATTATTATTATTGAACTTAATCATTGTATCTACATCAAAGCAAACAAAAAAACAGGTATTACATGCATGCCCTCATGAATTTTCTTATTTGTAGATGTCATATGCCTTCAGAAATGAAAAGGTACAGTCAATTATTTTTTTGCAGATGTCAATGTCGTATGCCTCCAAAAATGATAGGGTATCATCAATTTGGAAAAGCTCAGAACATTATTTATGGAATGTAGAAGACATACTTGGGCGTGGGGCCACAGCTGTGGTACACAAGGCTGTTAGAAAGGTTTGTAGCATATTAACATACATTAATCAATCTATTCTTATACCCCTGCTTCAATGATCCTAGGGTACATATAATCACTTTTCCACATCCATGTGAGTTCTAAGCATTCCTTTTGTACTATTTTATGAAGAATCAACAAACTTGTACAAGGGTACATTAAATAAGATCACTGCAACCTATATTTTTAAGTCACTTGAGACCTAGTTTCCTGTGACCTATTAAGTATCTTGATCACATTTAATCCGTCATTTGGCTGTAAACAATTCATACCTTAGACAACTTTAGTTTTCCTGTCTATTTCATTTTTCAAACTGTTTAATAATTGTCTACTACCTATATAAAAACCATTTGTGTATTCTAAATCAGCATTTATGAGGAAATCCTGATCAGTGTTCTGTATAAATAATAAATAAAATCTGTTTTGAAATAAAAGGTAGGGTTGATTTATGAATTACATATAAATCATAAGATGTTTTATGAGATGATTGAAATTATTTTTAATTTCAAGTTGGCAACAGAACGTTTTCATTTGTCAACAAGAATGGATTATTGGACAACAAGCCTTGTGCCCAAATAACATATACATGTACAAATCTACCCAATATAACCAAATACCTATGCATATTTTTTTAAGCAGAGTAGCCCTGGTCATGTAACTAGCATTCGCACATGTAAAGAAACAGCCAAATTTTGATATTGGATGATCTAGATTATACCTTCCTTATTTATCATGATTAGATTTCACATATATGTTACTCTGACCTTTATGTCTAAGTGTTCAGTGTTTTTGTCCCTGATTCACAGTGTTAGGAACAAAATAAATTTACATAAATCCATCTTACCATAGGAGCAACTCTCAACAGAAAATAAAAAATAGATCAAATGCAACAACATACAAAAAGGCTTCAATTTACCATCCATCCAAAATACTAATGAAAAAAAATACCTGCATGAAATTAACAAATGAACACATACAAATATGGAATGGTATGATCACTTTTCTTGCAATTAATGCTGTATTGATATACCAACAGGTGGAATCCCTAAATGATTGTCATTTGAAACAATAACAGAAATAGTTGGAACGAGTCCGAACGAAAGAAATCATTGTGGTTTCTGTTACAGGCTCTGAAAATAGTTTGATATTCTGAGTTGGGGGAAGGATAGACAGTTCCCACTGTTCCCTGTCTCCCTCTACTATCCTTTCATTCCATACTTTATCCCTTCTACTCATTTTCCCGTCTTTTTCTTCCTCTGCTGGATAACTGAACTACTCGGTAGTGATGCGGACTTAAAACCGATCAATCAATCAATTTCAATTTCAAAAGTATTTTATTGACAATACATATATAATACAAACATATAAGTTAACATTAAAGAAGATATTAGAACAGTATTGACAAAAGAATAAGACAACAGGCTTTGTCTATATAAGTCGCTTCTATTTCCGGTAGCTATGTACAATGTTTAAATATATAAAATGTTGTAATTCGTTTTCCTCTCACACACATGCACACCCACACCCACACCAGCTTATGTCTAATACTCGTTATTTAAGGGACAAAACTTGCCTGAATAATAATAATAATAACAATACAAGAATATTCATTTGGAATTTATCANGAGTAACTGGGGAGACCAAGGTTACTAGTATATTTGTCGATTAGTATGCCTGGATGGGGTGTAATCAACTTTTACAAATCAATGACCTTTGTCTGCATTCAAGGCTACAGGAGTTTTATATGTAGAAACCTTAAAACAGCTTCTAAATAACCGAGAGTCCAGAGGTAATGATATCTTCAGTAGCATGCTAAAATGAAGTGCCTTGAAGTTTGAAACTGAAATGAAGGATTGTGTCAAATGTCACATTTATGTTGGGTATTTGTTATACTGGCATGAAACATGTACAGACTACAGCTAGGGCCACTCTAGATTTATCCGTCAACTGTTAGGTGGGATTTGTATAGAGATACAGGTGTTATGTGTATGTATATACAGTCAAACCTGCTTGAGCAGTCACCTGAAATAAGCAGCCACCTCCCTTATGTGGTCAGTCTGTGGTCTGCCCAATAGAAAAAAACTATGTAATGAACCTGAAATAAGCAGCCACCTGTCTAATGCGGCCAGCGGTCACAAAACTCTGGCCCGAGACATTATCTCCACCTGTATTCAGCAGTCATTTTATCGAGAAATTGACATCAAGAAGATATATACAATATATTAAGAACACATCTCAATAGAGCAAAGCTAATAACAATGTGTAATTAAAAACCATAGGTAAGGTTTGACACGTTGAATCGACAAGTTGTTTACACAGTGATTTTCAGCTTGCAAATTGGGGCAGGTCCTACCGACCCATCAACAATGTTTTACAAACAAAACAATTAATCCCATCTTGTTTACTCAATCAGCTTGTGATTTTCAAAACAAGTATGATCTTTTGTGGTATCTGTACATACTGTATCCAAAGCTACTCAGGCCTAATATGTTATGTGATCAAAAAACTTGCCGCTATATTGCATGCGGAAAACAGATCTGCTTCCGGTCTGCCAGTCACTATTTCTATATCAACAAATTAAAGCACACATCATGTCAGAAGGATAAATTTCACACCGCAGATGCTGAATCAGATTTTTTTTTCATTACTATGTCATGATTTATTTCTATAATATATTTATTTGGTTTGTAATAGCTGTGCGAGATCAGGACATTTAGTGTTAACCTTTCCATAAGGCGCATGGGTGCTGTGAATAAACCGATATATTTATTTGGTTTGTAATAGCTGTGCAAGATCAGGACATTTAGTGTTAACCTTTCCATAAGGCGCATGGGTGCTGTGAATAAACCGTTACACTAAGTTGAAAGCTCAAAGATTTTTGCAAAGTTCTATATTTATTGAGTGATTTATTTATAAGTGATGAATTAACTAAATATTGATATATCCTTTCATTAGAAAATTATTTGAACCACATAGATCAGAATACATCGCAATGCAGATTTTCATTAAAAGTAGATCTACATGAAGATTTTAGTACTGGTGGTTGTCTGCTAGCGCAAAAGGTATGTGGAACACGTATGTAGCCAAACAAAAATAAATTCATCATTTCAAGAAATAAATCACCAAAATGCCTTTGTATTTTATTGATTATGCATTTATATTCAAGTATGAAATCGTACCCCTGTTGATGAAGGGAGAAAAATTGAAAATAACATAGCAGCCTATATTGCCGGGAAAATGTCATTATAACCCGTGGATGTATGAAAACTTGGTTGTGATTTTCGGGTGAGCCTGGTTTTAGCAGCCACCTCTTAAGCTGCCAATTTCTGTTGGTCCCTTGAGTGGTCTCTTAATACAGGTTTAACTGTATACATGTAATTCGAGATTCAAATAATTGCTGGGAACTCCGAACAATATACACTCAACTGTGGGAGCATACAGTTGACTAGAAATATACACCTGGTATGATCACTTTTCTTATAAAAAATGCTGTATTGATCATTTTAGGGGGGAACAATTGTAATACCAACAGTTTGAATCCCTTAATGATTGTCATTTGAAACCATAAGGGAAATAGTTGGAACAAGTCCGAACGAAAGAAATCATCGTGGTTTCTGTAACAGGCTATGAAAATAATTTGATATTCTGAGGCAGGGGAGGGAGTTAACATGTATGGAATGATTCTCAGTAATTCCGTTATAATAATATCTTGACTTTGTCACTTAAATTTGTCATAGGGAAAATGATACTAATTTCAACTGAAACCCCCCCCCCCCAGATAACCTGGTGCTTTTTTCGTGAAAAGTCTTAACTGTTTTTTAATAGTTTATGAAATTTAGTCCTTTGAAACAACTTTATGTCCATAAAATGTTGTCGTGCTAAATCTCCCAGATTGAAAAACCCAGTCGAGGGAGATTTCCCACCATAGCATTTCTAAACCAGGAGGTTGGGAACCATGGTTATGATAAAGTTAACAACTTAATGTACTGTAATTTAAAAAACCCCAATAAAACAACACTCAACCTTTTTGATAGATTTATGCAATACAGGTACACACTTAAAATAGAACATGATATAAAGAGGAGTGATATAAAAGAAACAACTACAATATGCTGAGAAAAAATAGTATTTTAGGGGGAAGTGATGTTAACAAAAATGTTACATTAAGCGGTTTGATAATAAGTGGAATTTGGTGTATTGCCAACCTTTTGAAATTTCCATGGAGGAGAACCTACTTGCTCAAAATTAAAAACATAAATAAAATGTGTATACATTGTATATACCTCTAGGTAAACTATAACACTTAAAAATGGCATCTTTTGAGTTGTTCTTTTATATGAAATCATTAGATCTTAGAATTGAGAAGTAGTTTAGCAATTTAAATGGCTGCAAATACTCTGTTTTAGGGTCCAAAATATTGGGACTCTCATGTAAAATACGGAGAGTTTGCAAATATAAGCCATGAGAGAGTACACTGAATTGGCTGTTGAACCTAAATGATGATTCTTTGATTGTGTGGGAAGTAATCTTTGCTCTAACTTTTCAGGATGTCCGATTTTGCAATATATAGCAGAGTGAAACAGTTCAAGAATTAGATAACCATTTCAAGAAAGCCTGACTTTTGCAACAATTCTCCTGTCTTTTATAAACAGGTTTTGTGTAGAGTTTTCCACTTATACTGTTACTCAATTTTGGGTGTATATCACATTACCAATGTGATTTCAATTTAAAACTTATTTCTTTTTCAGGATAATGGAGAAGGCTGTGCTGTTAAGGTATTCCATGATCGTGTCTCGTTTCATCATTCATCGGTACCGAGAAGGGAGTTGGATATTGTTACAAGTCTAAATCATAAAAATGTCATCCGCATCTTTGGAATTGATGTTGATGTAAGTGTTGGAAAACGTTACTCTACAAAAAATTGGTGGATATTTAATAGTGGTTGAAGAGCTTCACAAGACGTTGTATATGTTGTCATTATGCTTACCGTATTATCTCCTCACAAGGTCACTGTTACTATTTAGGTCACTGTTACTATTTTTAGAAAAACTTTGTCATCGCTCTACCAACTTCATTCCTCAAGGAAATTTCATGAAACTTGATACAAGTGTTTGTCATGGCGATGCCTTGAACAAGTTTGTGTTTTTGTTTCTATGTGGAAGGTCAAGGTCACTGTTACTATTTTTAGAAAATACTTTGTTATCCCTCTAGCGACTTCATTACTGGACGGAATTTCATGAAACTTGATGCAAGTGTTTGGTATGGGAATATCTTGAACAAGACTACATTTCAGGTTACTGCATTAAAGGTCAAGGTCACTTTTACTATTTTTACCAAAAAAATTGTCATCGCTCTATCGACTTCATTCCTCAATGCAATTTCAAGAAACTTTATACAAATGTTTGGTATGGCAATGCCTTAAACAAGTTCGCGTTTTAGGTTACTGCGTTTAAGGTCAAGATCACTTTTACTATTTTTAGAAAAAACTTTGTCATTGCTCTAGCGACTTTATTTCCTCTTATATATGTCACAATGTGTGAATGCGAGGGGATTTGTATCAATTAATTTGTGATGCCTTGTTTCAATATTTTTTTAAGCCTTATTATCTATTGAGAAAACCAAATCCTACTGGAATTTGCACACCACTTGAAAGTCAAGATCACATGATATCATAAATAGCAGTTACTTTGTGTGTAAGGGTCAATGATGTATGTTTATTTAGGAAATTTCTTCTACAGTGAAACAGTTATGCACTTGTAATTATGTACAAGTATATACCCTGCACCATGCCCTTCCACTCAAAATTGAATATTTGTTTGTTTTCCCTGAAAATATACCCATGAAATTAAAACTTGAATCTCATTATAAATAAGCAGCATTCTTTCAAATTTTTCAATATTCATTTTGCCAATGCCTAAAAGAAACACAAGTTTAATTCCATACTCAGAATCTTTCGTTTGGATGGGATCAGGGAAGGGTTGATTCAAATAAAGTAGATAAATCTAAATCTTTGAAATGAAGACATCAGTATTTATCAAATGAGACTCTTTGAAATTTAAAGTAAAGCAGATGTCTTACTTATTTATTTATTTATATATATTTTTTTTAAAAATATTTCGTGGAAACTCAATTCAACAACTCTTTTGAATCTTAACAACCCTTTCACCCCTAGGTAACTTTAGTAGACTCTACCATGCATGGGTCTACAGTGTTAAAAGGGTTAAATGCAAATTTTATTAAATTTTACTTTTTAGGGGGGAAAAAATCTGTCAACAGAAAGATAAAGGAATCGTCTTTCACTTTCAGATCAATGATAATATGTAGGTATATTGCTTCTTTCAGTCTGCTGGGAATCATGTGTTGGGTATGGAGTACTGCCGCGCTGGCAGTGTCTACACACAGCTTGATAAACCAGAAAATGCATTTGGGTTTCCTGAAGAGGAGTTTCAGCGAGTCCTTCATGACATCGGTATGTATTGTCTTTTTCTCTTTTGCTCGTATCACAACCAATACATTTTGAAATATTTCTATAACAATTTAATCATCAGCCATGCATCTAGTTGTCCATCTAGGACACTTGACATCGGACAGCAAGTACATGTAATAAATGGGTTGTTATCCATCTTGTTAAAAAGGTTTGCATAGTTATACATACAGCAGGCTTTAATTATAAGTTATCAACTTTAAATGACGAAGGTCACGTGTAACAGACATGCTGAAGGTCACCGAGCAGACATGTTTGGTACAGAAATTTTACGGTACAGTTTCTGTATGATATATTTCAGTTATCGATGACTTATTTATTCAAAGGACATAGTTGAGTATATGCACTGTTACTTTATGTTTCAGCCCATGGCATGCATTATCTCAAACGAAACGGAATCATTCACAGAGACATCAAACCAGGAAACATCATGAAATTCATTGATGAAGATGGCAGGTATGTAATGATTTAAAATATCAGTATTCTCCCGATTGACTAAAATCTATTTCGTAAACATACAAGTTTCAGCGAAATGGTTCTGTTTTACATTTAATGTCTAACATGGTGACATCCCTGAAGTCCTAAACAGAGGCTCAGTGTAGAAAGACTTTTATGAAAACAGAGGCTTGGAGTAGAAAGACTTTTATGTAAACAGAGGCTCGGAGTAGAAAGACTTATATAAACAGAGGCTCAGAGTAGAAAGACTTTTATGCAAACAGAGGTTCAGAGTAGAAAGACTTTTATGCAAACAAGCTCGGAGTAGAAAGACTTTTATGCAAACAGAGGCTCAGAGTAGAAAGACTTTTATGCAATCAGAGGCTCAGAGTAGAAAGACTTTTATGCAAATAGAGGTTCAGAGTAGAAAGACTTTTATGCAAACAAGTTCGGAGTAGAAAGACTTTTATGCAAACAGAGGCTCAGAGTAGAAAGACTTTTATGCAATCAGAGGCACAGAGTAGAAAGACTTTTATGCAAACAGAGGTTCAGAGTAGAAAGACTTTTATGCAATCAGAGGCTCGGAGTAGAAAGACTTTTTTATGCAAACAGAGGCTCAGAGTAGAAAGACTTTTATGCAAACAGAGGCTCAGAGGAGAAAGACTTTTATGCAAGCAAGCTCCGAGTAGAAAGACTTTTTTATGAAAACAGAGGCTCAGAGTAGAAAGAGTTTTATGCAATCAGAGGCTCAGAGAGGAAAAACTTTTATGCAAACAGGGGTTCAGAGTAGAAAGACGTTTATGCAAACAGAGGCTCAGTGTAGAAAGACTTTTATGTAAACAGAGGCTCAGAGAAGGAAGACTTTTATGCAAACAAGCTCCGAGTAGAAAGACTTTATGCAAACAGAGGTTCAGAGAAGAAAGACTTTTATGTAAACAGAGGCTCAGAGTAGAAAGAATTTTTTATGAAAACAGAGGCTCAGAGTAGCAAGACTTTTATGCAAGCAAGCTCCGAGTAGAAAGACTTTTTTATGCAAACAGAGGCTCAGACTAGAAAGACTTTTATGTAAACAGAGGCTCAGAGTAGAATGACTTTTATGCAAACAGAGGCTCAGAGTAGAAAGACTTTTATGCAAACAGAGGCTCTGAATAGAAAGACTTTTATGCCCCAATCCACCTTATTATGTTATAACGATTTTCTCTTCTTGTCCTGTCTTGTCCCATCTCATCCCACCCTGTTTAGCTACGAAATCTGTGTCATGACCCTACCAACTTCATTTCTTAAAAAATAAAATAAAAAATTATACAAAGGTCAAGTATTATAATATTTCAGATGATGACATATTTCTGGGTCCCAAGTAAACTCTTGAGGTCACTGTTACTATTTATAGGTCAACAACGGCTATTTTGTCATCAGATTCACCTTAAGATTGTAACGATAAGCTGTTGTTTATAAGGAACATTTGCTGTTGATTTCCTAGATATGAGTCTCTATCAGATACCTTAAGATTGTAACGATAAGCTGTGTTTATAATCAGATTGTAAGGCAGTGTTAATAATCTGTGTAAAACATGTCCTTGGGTCCATATCCCATGTACTTAATTGACCAGAGTACGGTACATAAGGGTAAAAGATTACATAATAGTGTGTTCTAAAGTACTAGTGGTGGGTGTAAATTCATTAAAGAATATTAGTATAACAATGACGTCACTGGAAGTTACCTAGGCTCCCGGAAACTGTTTATCATGCATGACGTCACTAATCAAAGGATCTATATATCATTATTATAACATTGTCTGTGTTCATGGTACCAGACCTTGTTAGCTCACCTGGCACGAAGTGCCAAGTGAGCTTATGCCGTGGCGCGGCGTCCGTCGTCCGTCCGTCCGTCCGTCCGTCCGTCCTCGTCCGTCAACTTTTCCTTTAAACAACTTCTTCTGAAGAACGGACAGGCCTAGAGTCATGATATTTGGCTGAAAGCTTCGTTGGTAGGAGCCCTACAAAGTTTGAGAACGAAAATGACCTTGACCTGTTTTCAAGGTCACAGGGGTCAAATATGTCAAAAACTTCAAACGACTTCTTCTGAAGAACTAAAAGGTATAGAATCTTCATATTTGGCTGATGGCTTCCTGGGATAGAGCCCAACAAAGTTTGAGAATGAAAATGACCTTGACCTACTTTCAAGGTCACAGGGGTCAAATGTGTCAAACACTTCAAACGACTTCTTCTGAAGAACTGAAAGGTATAGAATCTTTATATTTGGCTGGTGGCTTCCTGGGATAGAGACCAACAAAGTTTGAGAATGAAAATTAGTTTGACCTACTTTCAAGGTCACAGGGGTCAAATATGTCAAAAACTTCAAACGACTTCTTCTGAAGAATTAAAAGGTATAGAATCTTCATATTTGGCTGATGGCTTCCTTGGATGGAGCCCAACAAAGTTTGAGAATGAAAATTACCTTGACCTTCTTTCAAGGTCACAGGGGTCAAATGTGTCAAACACTTCAAACGACTTCTTCTGAAGAACTGAAAGGTATATAATCTTTATATTTGGCTGGTGGCTTCCTGGGATAGAGCCCAACAAAGTTTGAGAATGAAAACTAGTTTGACCTACTTTCAAGGTCACAGGGGTCATATATGTCAAAAGCTTCAAATGACTTCTTCTGAAGAACTGAAAGGTATAGAATCTTTATTTTTGATTGATGGCTTCCTTGGATAGAGCCCGACAAAGTTTGAGAATGAAAATGACCTTGACCTTCTTTCAAGGTCACAGGAGTCAAATGTGTCAGACACTTCAAACGACTTCTTCTGAAGAACTGAAAGGTATATAATCTCTATATTTGGCTTGTAGCTTCCTAGGAAAGAGCCGAACAAAGTTTGAGAATGAAAATGACCTTGACCTTCTTTTAAGGTCACATGAGGCAGATATGTCAAACACTTTAAACGACTTCTTCTGAAGAACTGGTAGTTATAAAATCTTAATATTTGGCAGGTGGCTTCCTGGGAAAGAGCCAAACAAAGTTTGCGAATGAAAATGACCTTGACCTACTTTCAAGGTCACAGCGTTCAAATATGTCAAACAGTTCAAACAGCTTCTTCTGAAGAATTAAAAGGCATAAAATTATAATATTTGGCTGGTGACTTCCCGGGATAGAGCTCACCAAAGTTTGCAAATGAAAATGACCTCAACCTACTTTAGAGGTCACAGAGGTCAACAACATTTTAATGGATTTGTTCTTGAGAACTAAAAGGAATGGATTCATAAGATTTGGCTGGTAGCTTTTTGGAATAGAGCTAACCAATTTGAGAAGGAAAATGACATTGACCTACTTACAAGATCACAGGGAAAAATATGTCAAGCAACTTCTGAAGAAGAATCAAAAAGCATAGAATCTTATAATAATATTTTGCTGGTAGTTTCAACAGATGGAGCCAACAAAGTTTGCGAGGGAAATATTTTTAGTGCAATATAATATTTAATGAGAATATTTTGCTATGACTGCTTAAATATTCAGGTGAGCGATACAGGCCCTCTTGGGCCTCTTGTTTAAAGTGCATGACCTACATAGTATGGATGTATTGGACTTTAGCACGGAAGTGCACCCATCTGTCATTCTGCACTTAATTTGAACAACGCATCAATTTTCTTTAAAAAGATATTGATAGCTTCGTGTGATGTAATGGTGTATAGTGAGTTTATGAGTCCATTATAATATAATATGCTTGCGAGATCTTGTTTTAACAAAGAACATGTGTGCTGTGTCTGTACATGTCCATATGTGTTCTATTGTTTGCCCAAGAGACTTTGTTAAACAAAACCCTTGTGGAACTACTTGTAAATCATTCACTATATATGACAAGTACTGTTAAACATGTATGCTGTTAGTGTAAATATTTAAAGCTCCAGACTGTTGGTAACTGTCTAGACACATCGTTATATGCTTGACAGATCAAGGCTTCAATGATCCTTCATTGTGCCGGTTCAATGGCGTGTAATACATTCTCAGACTAGTAATCAACACCATAACTGGAGATCTACAATGTGAAAACTCTTTCATAATTACTCTGGATCCTACGTCCTATGTCTAATCATTTAAAAAACCCATTGTGCTTTAACTGTTACTTTATTAGCTCACCTGGTCCAAAGGACCAAGGTGAGCTTATGCCATACCGTGGCGTCCGTCGTCCGTCCGTCCGTCGTCCGTCGGTGTCCGTCAACAATTTCTTTAAACGACTTCTTCTTCTTAACCACTGATTGGAATTTAACTAAATTTGACTGGAAGCATCCTTAGGTGGTGGGGAATCAAAATTGTACAAATGGTGGGGCTGACCCCCCAGGGGGCTGAGGGGTGGGGCAAAAAGGGGGCAATTTGGCTATATTGCTTTAAGCGACTTCTTCTCTGGAACTAAGAGATGGATATCAACCATATTTGACTGGAAGCATCCCTAGGTGGTGGTGATTCAAAATTGTACAAATGGTGGGGCTGACCCCCCAGGGGGCTGAGGGCAGGGCCAAAAGGGGGCAATTTGGCTAGATTGCTATAAACGACTTCTTCTGTAAAACTATGCCATGGATATCGATCATATTTGGTCGGAAGCATTCATGGGAGGCAGGGATTCAAAATTGTACAAATGGTGGGGCTGACCCCCCGGGCTAAGGGGTGGGACCAAAAAAAGTTTATTGCCTGGAAATGGTTGAGATCCCCACCATATAACCACATATACAATTGCTGAGTATAAAGAGATGAATGCACATATGCTTCCAGGATGGCCTTGGGGACTGCCCCACCCTTGCAGACTTAACCCCTGGGTCATAACTTTGAAACGGTTGAAATCCCCACCCCAAAACTATATATACAAATGCTGGGCAAAAAGAGACAAATGCAGTCATGATATTAGAATTGATCCTGGGGTCTGGCCACAACCGTAGGGACCTAGTTTCTGTCATGAGTCACAGCTTGGAAACAGTTGAGATCCCCACCCCATAACCATACATAAAATTGCTGGGCATGAAAAATTGAAT